AGGGGGAGGGGGAGGGGGCTCAAACAACTCTCATCACCTGGATTCTGACCTTTCTCCCGCCAGACAGAAAACTGAAGATTCTCCCAGTGGCTACAACACATTTTGTGTTTGTTTTAAGTTTTGCACATGTTTCAATATTGTGTTCTACTTCCCAATTAAAAATTGATCCCAGTAGCTGGGAGAACTAGAAAGAACAGAAGTCTGGGAGCTCTTCAAGAATTCCCAGACCTCCCTGTATTTCTCCTGACTTCTGCTTCCTCACCTTCTGTTTTTTCTTGCAGAGCAACAAAGAAAGCAACGTCAACGACACCACAGAAGCTTGCAATTTAGCTCACAAAATGTCAGCTGCATGATGCATCTCCTTCTCCATCGTCTCTTTTTACCTCCCGTTTTTTTTAAACCATCACTCTCTCTCGTGACTTTGAGCATAGCTCAGGGTAACACTAACCAGTGCTGCATCCATTTAAAACAGTCCCACCTATACATCATCTGGTAATGAGGCACGGTTGAGAAAGGGCTAAGATCTTAGAAAAGCAGTCAGCCATAGCTTAAGAAAGATGCATTGTGGGGTGTCCATGAGTTCTATATTCCCCTCCTAGAATCATAGCCTGGGAATGGAAGCAACTTGAGGATTGTGAAGAGTCCATCCTTGGACAACAATCTCTACCTTGACTAGACCAGGCTCCAATTGTTCACTTTGGGGGAAAGGACTCACATCAGTGTGTGGCCCTGGACAGCCCCTGCTCCTGAGTTAAAAGCAAAGCTCTATCAGTGGACCCTTATTTACAGAGTAACCCTTGCCCGTCACCTTCCATTCCTTCCACCCATAAGAAAACTCAGGGCAGACATTCCCAGCCTTCCCTCACCTCCCTCCTTCACCCCGAGAGAATGAGTTGCTTCTCCACTGTGTTTTATAACGGCCTTTTTCACACTGTGCCCTAATTTACGTGCTTGTCTCATCCTGATAGCCCCAAGAAAGGAGGTGACAGACAAAAGTGTCTGCAAGAGTGAAGAGTGAATAAATGAATATAAAATTCTTAATCGCTAAAGAATTTACCTTCTAGCAGGTAAGACAAGATAAGGCAGTTAAGTGAGAAATAGCAGAACAGAAAGAAAGTTGAAAGGGACCTCTGGACTTGGCTAAGAAGGTAGATGCCAAGCTTGTTAGGAACCTAACTATGAATCAGATGTACACAGGTGCAGAAATGGATGAGGCAGTTGTCTTTGGAGGGAAACGATGTCAAGGTCCAGGGTCTGCTGAGATGAAGGAACCAGAAAGACCATCTGAGATCCAGGTGTGAAAAGACTTTCAATACCTAACAAGAGAAGATAGATAGATGATAGATAGATAGATGATAGATTGATAGATAGATAGATAGATAGATAGATAGATAGATAGATAGATAGATAGATAGATAGATAGATAGGCATTAGAGAGGGTTTCACAAGGAATACTAATCTGGGCTTGATGTCCAGGAGGATGCAGGGACTGGAAGTGGTGGCAGAGTGACCAATCAGGTGTAGAAACTGGCTTGCACAGCAACCCTCACTGTTTTAATCAAATGCGATTTTCATTTGAAAGAATAAAAAAGTTAGGACCACAGCACACACAAAAAATAACATTAAAAGAGAACAATTGGCATCAGAAACAGAATTCAGGAGTCAGATGGGAACTTACAAATATAATTTCTAATTCCAATTCTCAGAATGATTCAAGAACATTCTATACCTACAAGTTCAGAATGGGCTACTTATCCATTCTGGAAACAGATTTCATTCCTGATGGTTCCTGGGAAGAGTCGAATATAGATATAAGAAGTGTCAAAAAACAAACAAATGAGTGACGGGATGATGGGGAACAGAGACTAACAGGGGGGAGGCCTTCCCACCCCAGCTACTGAAGGGACAGGGGAGGGACCGTGTTACTCCAGGCCAGCCAGCACTACCCCACAGAGGCCCAGCTGCCCAGCAGGAGCTTCAGTAACAGAAGGAAACAGCCATGACCAGAGAAGAGGTCGCAAGGCAAAAGGGAGGGGATAAGAAATACCCTGACTTCACTGTCTGCTTACCCTCCAAACTTCTGCTGATGCCTCCCACTGGGCGAACCAGCAGGAAGTGCAATTGGATGCCAGACAGGAAAGAGTGAAGAAAGAAACAAAGACTCTCCATGAAACAAAGATTAAACAACATGGGGCTGGCTGAGTGGATCAATTGGTTAAGAGCATGAGCTCTGAGCAACAGGGTCACCAGTTCGATTCCCACATGGGTCAGTGAGCTGCTCCCAAGCTGAGCTCCCGCTGAGCTGCCAACAGGCAGCAGGATGGCTTAGTGGTTAGAGCATGAGCTCCTAACAACAAGGTTGCTGGTTCGACTCCCACATGGGATGGTGGGCTACGCCCACCTGCAACTAAGATTGAACACAGCACCTTGAGCTGAGCAACCGCGAGCTGCCCATGGGAGGCAGGATGGTGACTAACTTGGAGCTGAGCTAGCTGCGCCCTCCACAACTAAGACTGAAGGACAACAACTAGGCTGTTCCCCTCCACCAATTCCCCAATAAAATATTTTTTAAAAAGATTAACCAACACAAGGTGCAAAGTGAAAGGAAAAACCTGAGTGTAAGAGGCAAGAGGGTCACTGGAAATTAAGAATATGATTGGTAAAACCAACACACACACACACACACACACGGAGTGAAAGGCAGGTACAGAAAATTTCATAGTGCAAAAGATAAGGAAATGGAAACTATACGATAAAAGTCAGGAAGCATGGAAGAGGGTCCCAGAGAGAGCTCTGTGCTTACTAAATGCCAAGGGTATGGTGTCTGGAAATGCTCTGGGGAAAAATTCGAGCAAAGGGGAAGAAATGAAACCTGTTAATTCTCTAGGATTCAATAACATGTAATGATAAAACATTTCCTTCACCCCTGAGTCCTTGGAGGATAAAGAAATCTGGGACAATCTGTTCTCTGAACACATCAGAAAGGCAGCTTTTTGTTTCGAAAGGTCTGTAGTGAAACACAATTCTATGACGTTAATCAATTTATTTCAATTGAGAGTGAAACATAAATGAAAGGTCCCCATTTCGGAAAAGGCCATGAAAATGTGAAGACGTTATTATTTCCAAGCTGAGAGAAGAGGCGAGGTTCTCTGCCTGGCACATTTCAGAAAGGTTCAATCAGCCAGGGCAGGGGAATAGATTTAAAATAGAAAAGTAATGGGAAAAGGGCTTTCCACATAACAGAGATGGTGACTGATGAAAAACCATCTCTCTGGAGCCAACTCTATTAATACCCATTTTTCCAGGCAGTTGGGAAAAGTTTGAAAACCCAAACTTTCTCCTCATTCCCTACAGCTTCTAGTAACATGTTTGTATTCATCCATGCATGTCTATGTATGTACGTGTATACATATTGGTCTCATCCGGTGTTACAGATAAGGGCATATTCAACTTGTAGATCACCATCTTAAAATAAAAGTCTAAATATGAAAAACAAACAAAAAAATTTGTGTGCTCTTTTTCAAAGAAATAAAAAGGAGAATATTGGCCCAAAATTATAATACCCATTGATCCATTCATTTTTTTCAACAGGTATTTATTGGGCATTTCCCTATCACGAACCCGGGGCCTAGCACTTTATGGTTCTTGCCCTCTCAAATAAACACTGCCAGCTCGAAGGAAGCAACCTCTCCTATGCCAAATTTTGGAGCTACACTTCAGCAGCAACTTGAAAACTCAAGCACATAGGCTTTCCAAGCGTTTAGAAGCTACCCAGATTCCACTCCCCTTAATTTATCCTCTTACAGTTAGATACCCATGCCCTCTTTTGGGTAAAAAATAACAGGAACCATTTAATGCCTTATGACTGCCCAGTAAATATCTAAATTATAAGTATTCAAATGGACGCTGCAGTAGTATTTAATAAAACTACACTAAATCCGGCAGCTGGCAATAAATCTCTTAATGAAAATGTAGTCAATGGGGCATTTAATTTGATGGCAGAGTCCACTTTCAAATAATCCAAAATTGGATTTTGTAGGAAAAAAAGATGCAGACTCTAAGCTGTACTTATGAAATGTATTTGCACACTTAGAAGTCATCAATAAAAAGGGGCTTACTTGTATATTTGAATTTGGCAGAAAGCTTTGTTATTTATTTCAATTAAATAGATATAATATACATAATTGTCCAGCTACCCCAAGACCTGTATAAAAACAAGATGCTCTGTCTTACTGAGGTTACTTTAAAGGGACATTTAAATCATTAGATGCCTCATTAGCTGGTATGAAAAGGGACCTCAGTCTTCCGCTTTCCTTTTTCTAATATCAGCCAAGGATAATTCAATTGCTTCAATAACTCCAGGTGACTCCAATTTCATAGCAAGCTCTTCAAAAGGCTAAAGGGATCGCTTTAAGTTCCGGAAGGCTTGAACTAAGTGTGTTTAAATCACTTTGTATGGCTCCAGCCCAGCATTATGCAATAAAGGGAGGAAGACAATGAAAAAAGACCAATATATTTTCCAAAATCTGTTTCTGAACACACAAATAGACATTTAAACACACAGGAAGGGATACAGAACTACAGTCCTTTTAAGTATCTAGCTGATAAACACGTCTG